CTGTTGAACACTGTGAGGAGGAGGGAGGAGCAGGGGGCATGCAGCGAAATGACCTCAGCATCCATTTCCTCCTCACTTCATTTCCACCGTGTTCGACTCCCAACACTTCCCAAGTTTAAACCAAGTGAGCTCTGTGGATTTGCCAATAAATGCTCTCCAAGTGGAACCTCAAAGAACTTGTTTCCTTTTATCAACACTGAAAAAAAAATGCTGCTCATCTTTGAATGTTTCCTGTACTGTTTTCAGAATCTGAAGTCAAGTTTGGAATTAGACTTGGAGGGAAGGAGATAGAATTTGCAGAGAAAATGGGGTGAGATGGAGAAATCATATTCCCACAGAGAGGAATGAGGTGCCTTCTGGGGGAGCAAAGCCAGGGCTTTTTTGGGTTCAGTGACTCTGTCTCTCAAAGTGTTATGTGTTTAATGGGGCATTTTTCCTAGTCTTGAGCTTGTGTGTTTGGAAGGAGATTGAAACTGTATGTTTCTGATTCCCTTATGCTTAACTCACCAAACTGCTTCTCAGTAATGATTTTCTGTCCAATGACCTTGATTTTTCCCTCAAATCAGCAAGCTATTTTTGCCAGCAGTAATGCATTTCAACTTCCAAACTGTTTACTTGCTTGTCCAAAATGCAAAAACTTGGGTTTCAAGATACCACTCTGATATTAGCAAGTTGTGTTGGCCTTTCTCTGGGATCATGTGACTGTCAGGTGGGTAAAAGGTAACCACAGAAACAGGGCATAGAAGCTGATTGCTTTGTGTTTGATTTATTTTCATTTTAAAATTTTATCATGAACATCTCAAGCAATGCAAAAGTGAGAACAGGGTTCAACGAACCCTCATGTGCGCTGATACGGGTCTTCAACAGTTATCAATTCTTGGATCTCTTCTTTTATCCATGTCTTCCTTGAACTGCTTTTGAAGCAAAGCTCAGGCATCATTTCATCTGAAAACATAATAGTGTTTAGCTCTAAATTACATATGTAACCATATGTTAACATCACACCAAGCACAATAAGCTATACCCTTAGTATCAAATATCTGGCCAACTCAACTTTCCTTGCTGGCTCATCATTTTTCAGTGTGTTTGAACCTGAGGTAAATAAGGTCCACATTAGCATAATAGGCTGCACATGCTTAAGTCCCTCCCCCACTGCCTCTACAGACTTTTGTTGCAAAGGACTTCTTGAGGGAAATTTTTGAGGAATATTGCATTGGCAAATACCAAATACTGGGACAGTCATTGAAAAAGAAAATTAAAGCAATTATTTTGACTACTATCAAGTTGAGGGAAATCAAGGAAGGAATGTTCCAAACAATCTATTGGTTTGACTGTAGTTTTAATTTTAACCAAAATGAGTATCTTTGATGTCCTTGTTGCCTGATACTTTAAGAAGGCAACTTCAAGAATGAGGAAGTAACCTTCTGTCTAGGTCAGTGGTCTCCCAACTGCAACTAGATCTGGATTGCTATAACCATCATATGCTGTATGTATAGTTGTCTATTTATAAACTGTACACATGTAATCCAGTATTAATATATTCCATCCATTACAAACCATGCAAAACTATAGTTAGGAGAAGTCCTACTACTTCTACAGAAGTTCCATTTCAGTCTCCCCACATTTCTCATGGGTGTGTCACTTTGGAGACCACCATGGAGAAATGGGCTCTGGGGACTCTGGGCCTTTAGCACACAATGCTTCAAAGCAGATGGAGGAAATTTCCCACTGTTAGTCTGTGGGGTTGGTCTTGGAAGGAATCGGGCAGGAAATGGCACTTCTGTGCAGGCCAAGGAAAACTTGCCATCCAAGGCACCACATATCCTCCTTAGTCATTTTTGCTTTTTCTGATCATCACTCTCCTTGGGTGGCCCGTATGGACCCCCTGTCTTCTAGTCTCAACCTTCCCAGGCCCAACCACACCTGTTTTTGCACACAGGAGTGAGAGTGGGGGTGTGGAATGGATTCAGGCTTTTTGGGAATTGGCATTTGGAATTGGAAGAGTCCTTGTTTTAGGAGAGACACATTCATGAATTCTTACTTACTTGGTCTCTGATCATGTTTTTGGAAGGGCCCATGCATGCCTTGAGAGGTACTCATTAGCCTTGACCATAATCCCTTCCTGCTTCTGCAATCTCTGTGCCAGTTCTTTAAAGTATGTCTGTGTGTGTCTCAACTCATCTCTTGCCATTGAGCCAGCTCTGCAAGCTCTGGCCTTCTGAGCCTACTTCTGTGGTTAACCCTTGAATATTGAGAGGTTGGACACTATGCTCGATGCCCTGTGAGCCAAGAGAAGTACCTGTGGCTTCCTCCCACCCTTTTCCTCCATTGGCAACTCTTCCCAAAAGAGTCAGTGAGAGAGAGGCTGAGGCCCCAAGACAATGAATAAGCCCTTTTGTCATCCTGAGGATTGTAGCCAAAAGGCTCAACACTGGAAGTTTGAAGTAAGATAATTTGATGACAAAGGTGCATACTCCACAGAGTCGGATGGACTCAGGTTTCTTGTCTCTGCCAGCTGGGCAATGTTGTGTGAGTTACACAGCCTCTCTGAGCACTTTTCATCTATAAATAGGGATGATAACGCTTGGCTCCCAGGTTGTTGTATTTAGTGAGATTATAAAAAGCATTTCATATTGTTCCTAATACACACTGAACCCTTAAATTATAAATTTCATGACTGATACTAGTAATTGTTACAAAAAAAAAAAAACAGGTAAAATCTAAGATGCGTTCTTTTAAGCTGAGAGGATGGGCCTTGGAATTTGGCATCATACAGAGATAGTGGGCAGTATTTTCTTGGTGACCTAGTAATGGTGCATCTACAAAAGACAAGTCTTTGAGGAAATGCATTTGATAATGATCATACTTCCATGGTGACCACAGATGGACTGAGACCCTGGTGGATTTTTAAAACTATAGACTACCTCCCTCCTTCCCTTGGTGAAGAGATGGGTAAATGACTTACCTGAGCTGTGAAAGGGGTGACTAGCATCCTAAGGGAGAGTGTAGGGAGAGGTCTCGCATCTGAGAGTGGGTGTGGTCCACACCGCCCTCACAGCTCTGCTCCCAGAATGAGTCCCTCCTTGCCTTTCCCCTTCTCCACCTGAGATTTGTTTCCTATGCTTCTTCCCCAAAGTCCCTCTTAGCCATTTGGCTCCTTCTGTTACTTCACTATGTCACTCCGACTTCCTCCTACTTTCCTGTTTGTCTTTCCCCTTTCCATATTTAAAGAGGAAGGCTAGGTTCTGGCCTATCTTCACCCAGTGGAGTCTATGGCCAGAACCAAAAATTTTTAAAGCTGCAGGAGAGCATGGAGGTATTCTAGCTCAATCTTCCCATTTTATAGATGAAGACACTGAGGTTTGGTAATTTACCCAAATTGACTTAGCCCTGCCAGTAACGATTTATGTGACCTCAAACGAGTCATGACATTTTTCCTTTTGAGAAACAATGCATTATTTTAAAGTGTCCTCGGGAAGCAATAAAACTGGAACCAGTTATTAAAATTTTAAACAGCTTTGGGCAAAGCAGTGGCATCGATGGGATACAGTGATGCATGTGAACATCACCTCTTAGGAATGGAGTGACCTCTGAGGTGTCTGACCATCTGGGCATGCCCAGAGGATGCTGTCATTGATGCCCTTGACCAATTCTGCACACCTGCACCTGGGGTCACCTGATAGTAACAAATTGTGCGTTTGAATCTGGCATTCCAAGGAGTTTCCTATAACTGCAAAGGTTTCGTAAATAGAGGCTGTCAGGGGAGGAGAGCATCAGCCTGGAATGATTTAAAAATGTGGCTTTTGAGGTCACACAGACCTGAATTCAGATTGTGGTGCATCTCTTACCAGATGTGTAACCATGGCTAGAGTAACCTCACCTAAGTCTCAAGTTTCCCATCCTAAAAGCAGAGCTCTTAATGTGGTACTTATCTCATGAAGTACGAATTAAATACAAGACAAATTAAGCACTTGGTAGAGGCCTGGAACATTGTAAGGACACTAGCAACCTTAGCAGTGGTGATGATAGAGCAATGGCCTCATTTGAACTTGGAGCAAATGCAGTGAAGCCTCAACTCATTGATTGAAAACAAGTAAGTTTCACTGATGTTAAGAAAGTTCCCACGGAGGGCCCTCCCTCGTAGCACAACAGGTTAAAATGCAGAACTAGAAAGCTGTCCGCAGCCACTGCAGCACAAGTTTGATTCCCAGACAGGGAGCTGACCCACATGGTGCAGCAGACGTCTCCAGTCACACCTACTGCTCCCCTCAGCAGTGTGCTTCAGTACATCTGCCTGTTCTCCCCACTCTGTCTCTGGTGAATCCTCTCACCCCCACACCTCTGGCCTGTACCTCAGTTCTTGTATGCATAAATAAATCTTTTAAAAAAAGACTCAAGGAACCACCCAGTGTAGAATGCAGCCATCCTAATTCTAGGGCCAGGGGTTTTCCCCACTCTATCTCCTTTTGTTGCCATAGAGACAGCTGTGTGCTTACTCCATGTCTTTGTAATTCACTAGGGCCAGGTTGGAGGCCTGAGATAAATTCTGAACCAGAAAAGTAAACTGCTTTATATGTGAACATTTTCTGGGTGAAACATTTGGGTAGCACCTCAGGCCAATTCCAATTATGCTGAAGATGGGAAACTTCTAGCTTGTACATGACTTTTCCACGGATGTAGTCTGCCGCCTTCTGCCTACAAGTGGTCCCAGAGACTTTCTTTAAAGTGGTCAGCCAAAAAACATTCTGGCTTCTTGAGCTAATTGATGATAGATTAAAGAGGATCAAAGGGATTTTGTTGCCAATGTATCTGGACTAGCCTTTCTATCCAAGATGCAGCTGCCGTTTTACAGAAAAACATCTGGGCACCATCAAGTCCTCAGAACCTTCCTCCCCACCCCACCCCCATGATGCAGGGTTGGGACCATGGACATGGACTTGAAATGACTGACCCTGGTCTGTCTTTGAGGGTTGCCTAAACTTCTCTGAGGTCCGCCCTAGAGTAAATGAGGACAAGATGAGGTCATATGAGGGCAGCCTCACAATGCCGGTCTTTGGCATGATTGACTATTGGCTGCTGTTTTTATGTTCTCACCTTTGCTACACTGTAAGCCAATATTTTTCCAATCCCTTTCACGCCTTTTCAGGAAAGATCCTTGCGTGGTGTTGGCTGTGCAGGCCACTTGAGTGGCCCTGGAGAAGCCCTGAGGTATCCAGCTTGCAGCCTCCTTGGTGCAACAGCCCAACTTTCTCAGGGAATTAAGTTCTTTAACGTTACAGAACTGCCCAAGGAGTTACTGCTCCATGAACGGTCCCTATGCGTGCACTGGTGTCTGTGTCCCTCAAATTCAGGATCCAAATGGAGCCAGACAGGAGTGGCACCTAGAGCTCAAAAGACTGAACAGGTAAGGCTGAAAGAGATGAAGAAACGCTTCTCCATAATTTGGAGACTTGCTCCTTGGATCACAAAACAAGCAAGCAATGCACATTATTCTGTGGGGTGAGTTGTCAGCCTGGTTTTCTTGAAGCCCCCATTCAGTTGCTTGGTATCACTAAACACATCAGGTGATGAATTGATTTGTTTGTTCAGTTTTTGTGCACATAGACTCTCCTCTTCCTTTCTTGGCACAGTTTGACAAGGTTGGGTTGAGGCGGATGAATCCGACAGGAGTCCTGGGATTTGCTTCTCCTTCAGATGATTTAACATTAAAAAAGGTCCCTAGGGGATTTCTATTAACAAAGACAGTCCAGAGCCAGAGTGACTCTTTGTCAAGGAGAAGTACATTCATGTTCTGGAAAAAAATCAAAAAGACATTTCCCACTTCTTAGAAGTCCCCTATCTTTACCCTCTCTTCAGTATTTTGTTTTATAAGTGTGGCTTTTCCAAACTGGCAATCCAGCATGGAGGTTACACTTGGGGCAGGAAATAGAAAGCACTTGTTGCTGGAAAGGGCATATTTAATAACAAATCTTTCAGTACCTCTGAGATACCAAGCATGTTCTAGGTCTGGAGGACTTCTCACATATTCCAGTGAGAAGGGTAAGCAACAAAAATACTTACTAGGCATATCTGCTAAGAGTAAGAGGTACAAAATAAACCAGGGAAAAGAGATGCTGCTTCATGTTAAAAGTTCTCCAAGAAAGTGGCCCTTGAGCAGAGACCAGAAGGGAGCATTGGAGAGATGGCCTGGGAGGACATCTGATACTCAGATGTATGTGCCTTAGGGTCAGGTTGTCACGTGTGCAAACCCCAGATCTGCCATTGCCTAGCTAGAGGGCTGCTCTGTGGCCTTAGCCTCTGTGGATCATCCGTCCTGTGAGTAATCCCTATCGCACAGGGATTATTAATCCTAGAACATGAAGAGGCCCACAGGAGCCCTATGAAAGTGGCCGACTGGCACCTACAGCATTGCCCACTTTCACCTTTGCTGGTTCATTTTTACAGGGAGGAATGGAGGGCATTTTTCACCTGGTTAAACATCACTCCAGGTCTGTGCTCTGAATCTAGTTTTCAGTGGAATCTCCAATACCAGTGACCTCTCTTCCCTGAAACCACCCCTCACCCCTGCACTCCCTAATTCTTGCTTCAGTTGAACTCATGTTTACTTTTTCCCTCATCATGTTCATATCTGTTTCTGTGGATTCTTTCTAATTGGTATGTTTGTGTCTAACCTAGCTTATTTTTCTTCCTCCTGTCTCATGTGTTTGGTGACACTCCCCAGCTGAGTGTCATCCACAGATTTCATGACACGCTGTCCCAGGTCATCCGTCAGGATATTGACTCAGATCAGTGTGATCGCAGATGCTTGGAACACCTTTCTGGAACTGGCTTTCTTGCCATGTTTGTGATCTCTGCCCCTTCTCAGGCCTGGTTTGAATCTATGGACCAGTCGTGAAAACACTATTTTAAGTGTTCTAGACAGTGCATATTCATTCAATCCCTCCTCCCCGTCCCTTTTCCATTCTTTTTTTTTGTTTAAGATTTATTTATTTGTGCATACAGAACTAGGGTACAGGCCAGAGGTGCAGGGACAGTGAGAGGATTCACCAGTGACAGAGTGGGGAGCAGAACAGGCAGATTGTCAAGTACACTGCTGAGGGGAACAGGGGGGAGGTCAGGAGAGGGCACCATTTGGGTCACCTCCGGGGCTGGAGATTGAACTCATGCTGAAGTGGCTTTAGCTTCTTAGTGCTGTGTTTTAACCCGCTGCGCCACCAGCATGGGCCCCCTTTTCCATTCTTAACTATAACAAAAATGATACTAAAGTCTTCAAAATAGTCTGTGGTAATTTCAATGTAATAAACTCATCTGTGGTAATTTAAATGTAGATTGTTCTTTGCTTACTTATCCATGGTTTTCTAAACCTTCTAAAAATTTTTTCTAGTATTTATTCCATAATCTTTAGAACCAACAATTGCATAGATCATGCACTAATTTCACTACCTTTTTCTCCTGTTTTCTTTCTACATCAGTATCACATGTTGGTCTTATTCCAACCTGATATCCCCTTGTGTGCAAGGTAATTTTTTAGAAATAACTACTCATCTTTACTGCACTATTCTTCGGTAAGCATATTAGTCAAATTCTTTCATTCCCCAGGGATATGTGTCATCTGGAGCAGCTGATTTATGGTGTGTTTGTGTTTGCCAAATATTTCTTCACCTATTTTTTTGTCCAAATTTATCTGAGGCAGTTTATAATTCTAAACATTCGCTTATACACATACTTTTAAGGGTCTAGCATCTCACATTTTAACATTTTTCAGTGTCTGCCTCTTCTAAAAAATTAGTAGAGTCTTTCAAGCTGTATTCTTGCAAGCTTCTTGGCCTATTTGTGATATATATATATATATATATATAAAACTCAGGGTGAGCGCACAGATATTATTCTTGCTAAGTGTCCTTCTGTTCTAACTCATGTCTATTTTTCTCTTTGGAGCTTAATACAACCCATTATCTAGACATCTTGTTGTTCTTGTCTCAAGTATTCAGAAATGTGTAATGATTCTAAGTTTCTGATGTATGACTAAATCGGTGTTTTCTGTTTCCATCTGATTTGGTAATCAAGAACTATAAATTTTTCAGGAAAAGAAAAGAATGGGGGATATGCCAGTTCAGTGCTTAAAGCCTACCAGGTACCTCCCTAAAATGTACACCCTTCAATTCTGCAGATAATCATTTGGCACTAATTATTCACATTTTTCTTCAGTTATCATTTTATTCAACCCAACCTCCTTTGCATGATTATATCAAATAAACAAGATTTTAGAATGCATTGCTGAAGTCTACTCAATTGTTATCTCGATCCTAAGTTGTTATCTCGATCCTAACTTGAGTTTCACTTCCACCCACCCACCAGAGAATCCTGAGGTCATAGACTACATCCCTGCCATTTATTTTTAGAATCTAATAACGCCCTTATTTTACTAAAGACAAATGCTTGACCCTAGTAAGTGAGGACATTTAAATCTGTAACCACTCACTGCCAGTGACTACTCCAACAGAGAGCTGCTTATAATGCAATAACCTTATTCTTAACAAGCTTTTATAAGCTAGCATGGTATTTGGCTTTGAGGTTGGTGTTGGAATATTTTCAAGTGAAGCTCCATTGTCATTTGGAGCTGTTAACCAAAATAGCATAGTTACTGTGCCATTTTATTTCATTCAAATGGGAGTGGATTTGGTATTCATTAGTAGCCAAACAAAAGTAATTGAAGCAGCCTACAATTACATTTCCAGTTTTAACCTCATGGTCAATTCAACCTAGTCATGGGTGCCTCATCCAAGGGCTGCGGAAATTACTAACTGATTCTCGTTGTAAAGAGAGAGCAGCCTTGCTGCCTTGAAGTCCCCTGCAGCTTAAAAGCAGCCTCTGTTGCACTCCTATGAAAGTGCACTTATATTTTGAAATATGCACTAAGCAATATCTTTGATAGTGTCTGTTTTAAGTCACAGTAGTCCTGGTCCATGGAGACTTCTATATACAGACACTTTCAAGAGTTCAGAGCAAAGGGTAACTCAAGCCAGTTGAACTGAATCATTTCAGAATAAAAATATAGAATGGGGCCTCTCTGGTGGTGCAGGGGTTAAACACACAATGCTATCAAGCTATCGCCAGCCATTGCAGCACAAGTTTGATCCCCCGGCCAGGGGGTGACCCACATGGCACAGCAGACCTCTCTCCTGCTGCGCCCCTCAGCAGTGTATTTCAGTAGGGCTGCCTGTTCTGTTCCCTAGTCTGTCTCCAGTGAATCCTTTCACCCCCCTTCGCCTCTGTCCTACACCCCAGTTCTTATATGTATAAATAAACAAATCTTAAAAAAAAAATTAGTATGATTCAAATGCTCATGCTACTTGGAGAAGAAATTGAAAAGTTCTAAGTTATTACCTATCAAAGTTCTAAAACCTAATACATACAGAAGTTGGAAGGGAAGAAAATGGAACATCTGAGTATCCATAACTCTATAGGCAAATATCTATACACAGTTATCCTGTGATTATTTCTAGCCTCAAATTCCCCATTCAGGAATGCAAACAACGGCCATCTGGGATGGTTGAATCTGCAATCATGGACCCATGGATGTGGAGGGCCAACTTCACTTTAAATAGTATTTTCCACTGCTCAGGGGGCAGCACACCTAACCCCCACCATGTTCAAGGGTCAACTGCGCTTCACTCCTTTAATCAGAGGGTGAAATAATTTCCCCACTTCTTGAGACTGCATGATTAGAAGGACAAAAATGTAGAAAGGAAGTATTGCTAGGGGCTTTCTGGGAAGAGGACAATGGGTCATTTCTCTAGTCCAGACTCCCCCTACCCTTACCCCTGTGTTGACAGCTCCGCTTGGTAAGAATCTTTGTGGCCCCTTTGTCAGAGAAAGGTCTTGACCCATGTGGCTACTGTAAAGCACCAGGGTTTCCTTTGATGTACTGAGACAGTTACATACCTGATCTGACTTTGGTTGAGAAATCTACCTATTTAAAGTAAGACACAAACTTTGAAATAGATGACGTCCTTGGATCTGACGCCAGTTGAATTGGTCTCTCTCTGGTCCTCCTCCAGTCAGGTCTCCTGATCTTGGCAGGTGAAACTGATCAGTGTTAATGGGCTGGTTGGCTTGCTGCTCTGATTACTTCCAGAAGTTGGAGAACAGTATCTTCCCTATTGTGGATCTTCTATTACTTTTTTTTCTTTCTTTACCCCTCCTCCCTCCCACCACCAAAGGCTCTTGTTCCCAAGTATTCATGTTCCACCTTCCCTGGCTATGAAAATAATGGGACTAGACACTAATGATGGCTGTGCTGGAGTTTCTGCATGGTGTCCCCAGTGAGCTGCACACCTGTGAGTTTGAAAGCTCTTTCAATCACAGCTTTGAATCACAGATGAATCAAGCGAGACTCGGCTATACAGGGAAGAATTATTAACCAAATACCTGCCAGGACTTAGATTTAAGCCATCTGACTGCAAGTAATTGGCTCTGACTTTACTAAAATATGAGGCTTAGATTAATTGGACTTGACTTGCAAGTTAGTGGTTTTGCAGAGAGGAACCCTAAGCCATTCAGGAAAGAAGTGTAAGACTTCTGATCTCACACTCCTCCTAGTCCCGTGCAGCAAAACTGTAAGGAAATGCTGTTCTATCTGATAGCAAGAGAATTGCTCTGATCCTGGCCCTTTGGCCTAAAGACAAGCTTGCATCCATGCCATGGTTTTTCCACCAGTCTGGTGGAGCGATCCAGACACCCTCCCTTCCGGTCCTGTGTGTTACACACATTCCTTGTGTTCTGAGTGTCATGTCTGGGAGTGGGTTCTTGGTGAGGCTTTGTGATTTTTTTTTTCTTTTTTGAGACATTTATATTTAGCCAATTGTTGATTAAAACCAATTGCTCTATAACTTTCCTTGCATATTTTCTGTGTCCCTAAAGATTTCACATGCAGAATGAGATTAGGGAAGCAATTACTGACAGTAATCATGCCCCTCCCAACATTCAACTACTCTATTGTCTCTCATTCAGGTCACTGACCTCCCCACAAGAGCACCTGAAAAGAAGGAACTGGATAGACCACATTGTGCATTTTATGAGTGCTGCCATTGAAAGCAGCTCTTTCCAACTTTTGTGCTGTGTGAGAGGGTGTGTGTGGTTTGACTCGGCTCCTGTCACTTGGGGAGATACAGCAGAGGGAGGTACCAGACTTCACCTGTGGGGGTGAGGCTGCAGGAGAGGCTGACAGCTTGTCTGTTGTGTGGCACCAAGTGAGCATGAGTCCAGGGTGAGGTGAGAGAATACTAAAGGAACTTTAAAAGTGGCCACATCCCAGTTTTTTTGTAACCACAAAGGACTGTAAATGTGCTACTCTAAGGGGAATAAAATGAATCCGTGCTTTCCAGGATCCAGCATCTGGCTACCTGTCGATAAAAGCTTAGATCCCCTTCCCTCCCCCACCCAGGAACAAGGCTAGACAAAGGACAAGAACTTGGCCCGCTGACAAAAGAATCAGTCAACTCAGACAGGGTGGACTGAGGCTCTTGTGCACATAGGGCTTCAGGGGTGTTGTTTATCATGTCAAAGCACTTATAGGTGTGCTCATAATTCCTTTATAATTCGCTGAGTGTCTGACTCCATAAAATGTGCCAGGTGTTCAGGCAAGTTGGCTGCCTATAAAAGACAACATACCTTTTGCATATATTTTAAGAGAAATCACATTAGACAGGAAAGTCAGTGTACCTTCCCCACTAGCACCCTGAAATGCAATGAAAAGCAGACTGAGGGAGAAGTTTGCATGTAGTGTAGG